GGGACCCATTTAAAGTGGTTGGGAGTTGCTTATAAGCAAGCAACTCCCACCGGAGATGCTCTTAGACACCGATAGGCATAGCACATCCAATCATGTTGATGAATCCTTTGCTACTCGCGTCCCTTTGGTTAGGCTCTTTGTTGCACACTGGTTGTGAATTGTTAAACTACTACATGTAACCTGAAATTTAAACCTTCAACCATTTTGACCCCACAAAAATACAAACCTAAGCCAGACGTATAATCCACTTTTGAATCAACAACATATACCTTTGGATAAATCAAAGTGAGACTAAATGAACTCTTGCTAAACAGAAAAAGTAGAAAATAGGATTTAGTATGCTTTCAAAATGTTTCAATTCAAAATGTTAAAATGCTCTAAGTTTTCTTCTCAAATCTCAATGTGATGATCCAATTCGTAATACTACTCAAACATTTTAGGATAATAGTTGATGAGCTTACTCACCGTGTGCCTGCACTGCATATACGCACTTACCTATCTTGCTTGTTCTACCTTCAAAAATACCTACTTAGACTGGAAAAATTGATGCAAGGAAGAAGAAAAATGAAAATTAACAAGGAAAGTAACCATAGATTTCTAGCCTAGTATGGTCTTTATCGGTGCATTTATCTGTTGATTCCTTTGTTTTGCTTGACAAAAAAAAAATCATGAGCAAAGCATATATATTCCAAGAAGCTCACAACTGCATCCACCTAACCATACAAGTTTCTGTGGATCTTAACAGTAGCTTACATACAACTCAGACTTAAACCGCAAGCCTCTCCTGACCCTCTAACGTGAGGTACACCATAGATGCCATGCCATATGGCATATCCTCCAACATTTATTACAAATAAAACCAAAAACAAGGAACTACTAACAATTTCCACCAAAACATAGAAACAATGCTTCCGATACCAAATATAAATGTGTTAAAGCAAAGGCTTCCCACAACACATAATGCATTTGGTCTCCATTGTGGATTAGCTTTTGTTTAGCAACTGGAATTGTGATATGTCATCAATCAGCATAGACATGTTGCAGTAAGAAGATCCATCTTTCTCCATTGCTTTCTTTGCCATGTCAGCATACTTTCTAGCACTTTCCCTTCTCTTTTCCTTTTCTTCACCTTCACCCATTACCTTCTCTATAGCCTCTTTAACATTGTTCCTATTCACTCTAACACACTCACCAAACTTATCTTCCTCTCCAAGATTAATAGCACTTTCAGCTCCCACACTTACACCAATCTCGGCCACTTGCACAGCTAACTTCTCATTGTAAAACTGATCATGATGAATAGGAAATGTGACCAAAGGCACACCAGCACAAATGGCTTCCAATGAGGAATTCCATCCACAATGTGTGAAGAATGCTCCTATAGCTCCATGTGACAATATCAACATCTGTGGCACCCAACCCCTAACCAAAACCCCTCTCTCTTTCACCCTCTCTTCAAATCTCTCTTCCAAAAACCACCTTTCCATTTCATCACTCCTATATGCTCCTCTCAGCACCCAAATGAATGGTCTATTTGTTGCTTCCAACCCCAAACCAATCTCCATCAATTGTTTAGGTGCCACACGGTTAAGGCTACCAAGGCAAGCATAAATCACCGACCTTTCAGGCCATGAATCAAGCCACTTCGCACAATCAACTTCACCATCTTTTGTGTTTCTTTTGCTACCTCTCTGAGCTTTGTCCAAGTCATCCTTGTTTGACAGTACCACAGGTCCAACACACCACACCTTACGCCCTGTGACCCTTTGATACTCCTTAACATACTCTTCTTCCAACTCTTCAAAACTATTCACCACTATCCCATATGCTTCTGCTTCAGCCACCCTCCGTTCCTCACGTAAAGCATTCAGCTTTTGGTCTGGGCCAGGCCCAAATTCCACAGGCAACTGAGATTTCTTCATTTCAATTCTGTGGGGTAATCCGGGGAAAATAAAGTTATCTGAATCAAAGACAGTTTCATGAACCTTAAAAGCATGCAAGTTGTGGCTGCACAAGAGGTTGATGCAACTAGTCCCATCAAATACTATTCTAGGGACCTTGAACTTGGTAGCTATATGAACAACACAAGGAAAGTACTTGTCAGATACAATGCAACATGGAAAGGGTGTTAGCTTTCCAATAAGCTCTTCTAGCTGATTTTGCAACATGCTTAAGGCTATGACAAACTTCTCCATGGCCATTACATCCATTGAAGGCAGAGATTCTAGGCTCTCACACCCCTTTGGAATTCCATCGGGGAATCTAACTAGTTGAATAACTTGAATTTGAATGGGTGAGCCAGATTGAATCTCTCTCTGGATGGTGGCACTGAATTGGAGGGCGTTGAGGGGTGTGGTGACTATGGTCACCTTCACATTGCGCCGTGCCATCAACTTTGCCATGTCTACTAGAGGAAGCATGTGACCAGGTGCCATGAAGGGGATGAACACAAAGTGAAGGTTGCATGGTGGCGTTGTGTCCATTGCAAGGTCTTGTGTTGTATCACGGGAAGAATGAAATTTTGAAGGCAATTCAGTTAAGTTTCAAGCTGAGATTTCTCACTGATTCTGAATTCAAGTGGAGGCTGCTTCCTTTGCATGCTGCATATGTACTACAGTTAGTGTAACATGCAACGACAAGAACAAAGTCTTGTCACATTAGATGAAGCAGGTTGTATAGACGGCATGGCACGATCTCATTCGTCTCACTTAAAAGACCCATTGCGTAGTGGTGAGTTCGGATCGTTGCTGAGATTTTGGATGGATTAAAATCGACCATTCAATCATGTCATCAATGACAAAGCATAAAGATAAATATAACCATTTGTTGCATTCATTATTATTAATTTTCTTAGAAATGCTGGCACACATTTTTCAATCTTCTCATTATTATTAGCTAGAAATTATTAGACATCACAATGATTTTGTTTCCTGATTCAATTACGGATCCTGTAAGATAATTGTGTCTAATTATATATCATGTGAGAGATATGTGGCATATAAAGGAATTAATAAATAAATAATTAAATAATTAAGAATTAAATTATAAATAAGTTTAATGAAATAATTTTTTAAAATAATTATTATTTGATGGGAATAGAAATTGTAAAGGATTATAAATATTTACTAAAGTGAAATAAGATCCCCTTCATGATAAAAAAAGTATTTTCTCAAATTCTAACCATCATAAAAAATAGAGAGAGTAGAAGGAAAGGTTAAAGGGAGTAAAGTTTTGGTTTTCCTCTTCTTTCAAGAAGATCAAAGTGTTGTGAGGTTCAAGGTGATTCTCTTTATGGAGAAAACTATATATGCATTATGTGACACCCTTACTACCCCAACACATATATAAATAAATCTTGTAAATAAACTAAAGAATAAAATATTCAACGTTAGTAAAAGAGTTCACATAAAACCTTCATAAACAAATTGCTTTTAAAAGAGAAGTTATAACTCTAAATACATATAAAAAATTATCCTAGAATTCTCTGTCCCGATGTTACAATATCAAAGCACACCCACAACTCAACGGTTGACATTCTAGATGTCACTCAAAGCTGAATCTTCCTCACCTAAAACATCCACAAATTGTACGGTGAGAAAAGAAAACATTTATATATAAAGCACACAAGGAAATCCACAACATCATCTCAACATAACTTAGAATGTTATTTACAAGCATTTCTATAGATATATTATCATTCTATCAATCATTCATCTTCACATCTCAATACACAATTACACCAATTCATCACAATCCACACAAATCTTACAATTAACACTATGCCAAGGCCACGCCACATCTGACACAAGTGATACAGGTTAATTGTCTCACTCATCCCACACCATGCCAGGGGCACGCTCGTCCATGTAGCATCACTTACTCAAGGTTCGTCTCATCCCTGGTCATTAGTGTGAGGAACCACAATCACATTACAATCCACACAATCTCTTGCAATTAACCCTATGCCAGGGCTGCCATATGTGACATAAGTGATGCGTGTTAATTGACTCACTCATCCCACACCATGCCAGGGGCACGCTCGTCCTTGAAGCATCACTACTCAAGGTTCGTCTCATCCCTGGTCATTAGTGTGAGGTACCACAATCACAATCATAATCATATCCACACAACATCTCATCTCATATCTCAATTCCATATTACATGCACAACAGATAAGTCCAACAAAATAAGGGTTTATACACCCCTCAAGCAATTCACATCTAGATCATCAATTCTTATCAATTAATATAACAATAACATTCATAAATTAATAAAATAATCAATAGAATTATAATTTAATATAATTTTAACATAAACAGTAAAACCTTCAATTATTCCAAAACCTAACTCACAGGTACTTTTCTACAATTTCATTCTCTCTCCCAAATCATCATTCTTACAAATTAAATATATATTTCTAATCCTCAATACATACAGAATCTAATGGTATCATTAATTCCTCAAACAGAAATAATCTAATTTTTCCAAAACCTAACTTACATGAACTTTTCTATAATTTCGTTCTCTCTCCCAGAGCATCATATTTACAAATAAATCATATATTCATAATCCTAAATTCATGCAGAATCAAATAAGACCAATAATTCTCCAAATAGAAATAATTATAAAATTACTCATAATAGAGATCTCCTTGGTCTCCTCTTTTGAGTGTCCCTCGGTCTTTAGAGAGTGTAGAAGGAGAAGAAGAGAGCAAAGAAGAAAAGAAGAGAAAAGTGAAAAGTGTGCCTTTTAGGAGTGCCAGAGTGCTTTATATATAGGTATCAGGTGTCTCCGGAACGGCCTGTTCCAAATCCGGAACGGCCCGTTCTGGACCCTTAAATCATGAGTAAAATTCACATCCAGAACGGCTCGTTCTCAAACCAGAACGGCCCGTTCTGGGTTTGCATTAAAAACTCTCAATGGTCATAATTTGGAACGGCCCGTTCTGAAACCAGAACGACCCATTCTCAATAAGGTTTAAAGGTCATTTCTAAAATCCGGAACGACCCGTTCTCAACTAAGAATCATAGGCAAACTTACTAGTTTGGAACGACCTGTTCCAATTCCGGAATGGCCCGTTCTGGAACTCTAAATACATATAAAAAATTATCCTAGAATTCTCTGTCCCGATGTTACAATATCAAAGCACACCCACAACTCAACGGTTGACATTCTAGATGTCACTCAAAGCTGAATCTTCCTCACCTAAAACATCCACAAATTGTACGGTGAGAAAAGAAAACATTTATATATAAAGCACACAAGGAAATCCACAACATCATCTCAACATAACTTAGAATGTTATTTACAAGCATTTCTATAGATATATTATCATTCTATCAATCATTCATCTTCACATCTCAATACACAATTACACCAATTCATCACAATCCACACAAATCTTACAATTAACACTATGCCAAGGCCACGCCACATCTGACACAAGTGATACAGGTTAATTGTCTCACTCATCCCACACCATGCCAGGGGCACGCTCGTCCATGTAGCATCACTTACTCAAGGTTCGTCTCATCCCTGGTCATTAGTGTGAGGAACCACAATCACATTACAATCCACACAATCTGAGATTTCTCACTGATTCTGAATTCAAGTGGAGGCTGCTTCCTTTGCATGCTGCATATGTACTACAGTTAGTGTAACATGCAACGACAAGAACAAAGTCTTGTCACATTAGATGAAGCAGGTTGTATAGACGGCATGGCACGATCTCATTCGTCTCACTTAAAAGACCCATTGCGTAGTGGTGAGTTCGGATCGTTGCTGAGATTTTGGATGGATTAAAATCGACCATTCAATCATGTCATCAATGACAAAGCATAAAGATAAATATAACCATTTGTTGCATTCATTATTATTAATTTTCTTAGAAATGCTGGCACACATTTTTCAATCTTCTCATTATTATTAGCTAGAAATTATTAGACATCACAATGATTTTGTTTCCTGATTCAATTACGGATCCTGTAAGATAATTGTGTCTAATTATATATCATGTGAGAGATATGTGGCATATAAAGGAATTAATAAATAAATAATTAAATAATTAAGAATTAAATTATAAATAAGTTTAATGAAATAATTTTTTAAAATAATTATTATTTGATGGGAATAGAAATTGTAAAGGATTATAAATATTTACTAAAGTGAAATAAGATCCCCTTCATGATAAAAAAAGTATTTTCTCAAATTCTAACCATCATAAAAAATAGAGAGAGTAGAAGGAAAGGTTAAAGGGAGTAAAGTTTTGGTTTTCCTCTTCTTTCAAGAAGATCAAAGTGTTGTGAGGTTCAAGGTGATTCTCTTTATGGAGAAAACTATATATGCATTATGTGACACCCTTACTACCCCAACACATATATAAATAAATCTTGTAAATAAACTAAAGAATAAAATATTCAACGTTAGTAAAAGAGTTCACATAAAACCTTCATAAACAAATTGCTTTTAAAAGAGAAGTTATAACTCTAAATACATATAAAAAATTATCCTAGAATTCTCTGTCCCGATGTTACAATATCAAAGCACACCCACAACTCAACGGTTGACATTCTAGATGTCACTCAAAGCTGAATCTTCCTCACCTAAAACATCCACAAATTGTACGGTGAGAAAAGAAAACATTTTTTTTTTCATATTTAACTCCTTTGGTCAAAAGATATTTAAGGTTC